GTGTAGTCATAATATCTAACTGTTTCAATGCCAAGATTCCCATACCCTTGATGATACCAGCCAATCCATAAGCAGCACCTTTACGTTCTCCATATTTGTCTGATTTCAATAACTGATCCATAAGGTTATCAACAATCTTTGAAGCATCTTCTTTGATAGAAGGTACAAGATGTGGTAAACAATTACCAACTGCTTCCTGTACTTGTTGGGATGGTGTTGAAAGAGCTGCAATAAGGCGCATCACGATTGGTTTGATACGTGGATCATCTTTATCCAAATGTCTCGCTAATGAACCCATCAGAATGACTACAGATTGTTTTATAGAATCGAAACTTCCAATTTTAGGTGCTTTGTCCATGAAATCTTCAAAGACAGGTAGAAGAGAAGTTATATTTTTCTTTCCATGAAGATCAACAGCTGCTACAGCAGCATTCAACATTTCTGTACGAACAGATGGGTTTCTATCTCCCAAACCTGTTGAAACAAAGAATTGTACAAGACGTTGAATAGTTTCTGACGTTAAAAGTGGTGCTATTTGAGTTAGAGCAAGTGCTACACCACGACGTGGTGCCCAAGTATCAATTGGTTGTTCCACAACACGACCAAAATCGTTAAGTTTAGGTGGAATCATAGCTAATTTTTCTTGATACAATTCTAATAATCTGTCCAATATCGATGGAGTCAAATACGGTACATTGGTCAAACTTTGGGCCAAAGCACATGCTGCAGCTTGCTGTACTGGTTCCACTGGATGCGCGATATCTTGAATCAAATCGTCGCAAAGAACATCAGCTTGAGCTAGTAAATTAGCAGCACTCCACAATTCGTTAGCAAGGGTTTTGTTCTCATCACAAACATCGAATCTAGCGATCCATATTCTTCTTGTTAGACGAAGTAGTTGTGCAGGATCCTCTTTCTCAGATGGAAATGCTTGTCTTATTACTTTTAGTCCTCTCAAAGCTGCATCTCTTACTGCTGGTAATGCATTTTGTAGAGCACCGATTAACGAATCTATATCATCGCTTGTTGCTAAAGCTGTACCAGGTTGTCCACTACCAGATTGAGCAACATCTAGCAATGTTGTTACCGCATGTGATTGTACTCTTCCAGTAGTACTACTCATAAGTTCTATAAGTAAGTCGAATATTTGTTTTCTGGGTAATAACCTAGGATGTCTCATATCTTTCAAATCTGAAGTATTTCCTCTTTGCTTCGCATGTTCTTGAATTATTTGTAATCCTTGCATTATCATAACATCATCTTCATACATCAATAAAGTTTTCTTCAGAAAAGGAAAGATATAACAGAATGCGGGAGCAGTAAATAAACGTTTTTGCTTAATTGTAATTGTATGAATCAAATTCAACGTTCTTTTAACAACTACGTCTAAATTTTCATCTTCCCATGCTGGATCTAAATCACATTGTGGTTGTAATTGTCGTAATGTAACATGTGCTATCAAATTTCCTAATGTCGTATCTGTACCTATTTGAACTATTTTTTGTAACTCAATATAAAGCTCGGATATAGCAGGTGCAGCTAATGGGGATCCTAAATTTTTTAAAATAGGAGATAATATATCCTTTAGATACAAAGATAGTTCCTGACCATTTCCTCGTATAGCACAAAGTATCAAAGATACCGCATGATCTATCTTTGATTTTAATTCAGTTAGTCTCTTTCTAATACCATTTTCCTTAGCAATTTGTGCTTTTAGAATTTCTTCTTGTTTTGCTGTTAACTTTGGTTCCTTTATCTTTCCTTCTCTCTTGTGTTTTTCATACAATTCACGTCTAAGTTGTAATTCCTCTTGTTGTTCTTTGAATGAATATACTTTACTTTCTCGTTTCATATTCATAGCATTTAATATATCATTTTCATCATTAGTTGGCAATACACTTTTATCATAAAGTTCTCCTTCGGGTGTAAGATAAGTGAAATATTCATCTTTGGTGACTTTTAAAATTTCTTGATCGTTTAGTTTATTCGTCACATTTAAAATTAAAGTAGGTAAAATAGTATCGGGAGATAATTGTAGTACTTTAGCAAGCGCATTCTCATAACTTGGTACAGGATTATAATTTTGTATGAGTAACTTTTTGATTTCGTTACTATAAGTTCTAAGAAAATCCTTGGGTACTAGGTTAAAATTTTTAGCTATTTTCAACCATAAATTTGGAACTGCTCTTAATATCGCTGGATGATGAGCTGGGATTAATGCATCTCGAGTCAATTGCATAGCAGGTAATTCAAAAAGAAATGATCCAGAACATATAGCAAGTAATCCATCTGCCAAACTTCTACCAGTAATTTCGCCACACGTATCTTCCTTATTATCTTTATCATTTTCAATTTTGATCTTGACGTTTTTAAGATATTTATTAAATTCTATTAAAAGTGCTTCAACTGGTGCATATGTACTTAAACCGGTTAAAATTTTTTTAATCAATGGAAAACAACGTTTTCTGATAGCAGACTTTGGTGCTGTTGAACATGCTACAATAGCTCTGTGAATTCCATTTAAAGCTTTTTCATTGAGCCTATCAACAAATTCAGTAATAAGACGTTCACATAATAGCATAAGATGGTATAAAGTATCATCACCACATGTAGTTAAAAATTTTTCTGAAAAGAATATTTGTTCGTCTATTGCATTCCATAATATTGTTTGTTTATCATTTTCTACTAGATCAGCTAATACAAATTTAAGTAATAAGTATGATGCCACTAATCCTTCAGTGACAGGCATAGGTTGTGAACTTTGTTGTATAGCTCTTGTTATAGCTTGAGTTAGAATAGGTGCGATCGTACCTGAATAAGAGTCTACCGGAGCAGAGAAGAAAAGTTTGATATAAGCAGTACGTACAGCAGCGGTAGAAGTTTTGGCTGCTATTCCTTTTTTAAATGCATCTATTACGCTTTGGGGAACACTGTTTGTAAATTTGTTAGACCACAATGCCATCATATCTAATGCATGAATCAATGTTTTTTCATGAACCTCTGTTTCAAGAACTTTAATGAAATGTTCGCATGCAGTTTCTGCCAATCGTTGTACACTACTTCCTGAAGCTGCATTATAACTCAAATTACCTGCTCCTTGCAAGACAGATATTTTATGAGTCACCACGGTTAGTTTTCCTTCAGATCCATGAAATACAGCAAATAAAGAAGCAAGTAAACTCTCCAAAGCAGTTGTATCTGAACATTGTCTAGCAAGTCTACGGCATGCTCCTACTGCTTCTTCTCTAACAAGATCTTCTTTAGAATGTAGATTAGCAAATAATCCTTTGCAAATATCTTGACTGTATTGACTTAAATCAAGACTCAATCCACTTAATATATGTCCAACTGATTCAATTATTATTTCAGGATTTCTTAACATAGCTTTTTGTAAAGCTGGCAACAATTGAACTTTAAATTCTTCATGCGACATTCTACGTAGAAGAGGTACTGCTGTATCGACCACATATAGATCTGGTTTTTTCTTTGAACTGATAGTCACTTTTATAAATGTATCTATAACATTTTTCTGAAACGAACAAATAGATTATACTGTTAAATAAATATAAAAATTATTATTATCACAAACATTAGGATTGTATAAACAATTATTACCTTCAACTGTTCTATAAGTTCACTTTTTTTTGTATTCACTAAATATTTAGTTAGCAAGCTTGCAAGTACAATTACACCATTTCCAATCTCAAGTTTGACTAATGTTTCTACATATTTAATTTCGATATCTTTGACAGATGACCATTCATGTGCAAGTAATGCGTATGTTTTATACGACATCTTTTTATCCATAGATGCTAATGAAGCAGCACTTAAGTTGGCTTGCGCTTCGATAAGTTTTGCTAGTTCAGTGCAATTTTCAAAATTCTTATTGATTCCATGTAGTATTACAAGCGTTGACCATTTCAATGCAAGGTATGCAGTTAAAGCGGTATTTAAGCTAAAAGAGAAACGAATATATTAGGTCTACTGGAAAGTTAGAGATGAACAATTGAATTGGTGTCTGTCAAAATAGACAGAACTTTCTGGTAGACCTAATATAAATAATGTTAGCATATATACAATTATTTTCTAATACAAGAATATAGAACAAAAAATGATATATGATGCAACGTTAATCTTACGTAGAAACCACATTCTTATGCCAAGTAGCTTGTTCTGCAATGACACTTGTCATATGCTTCACGGTGGCTTCTGGTTGCTCTGCCAATAACTTTGTAATGACATTTTTCACGTAAGATTGGGAAGCTGTATCTTTGTATCGATGCAAAGTAAGGGAGAGAACTTTGCAAATTCCACAAACAATTTTGTCATTAATGCCTGAAACAAATAAAATGGATATAATACAAAATGGATAAGTTGTTATTACGTACTTTATTTGAAATGATAAAACAAATTTGTGATTTATTATAAAATCATTCTAAATCATCGTCATTGACATATAGTGAATATTATTAGTAAATAGTATTTATATAAAGTACAAGCACATAAAATGATGTAGATTCAACTGGTAGCAAATTCTTTGATTAGACATATTAGTTTTAATAATATATAGAAAAAGTATACATGCATGACCTTAAAACATTATAAATCTTGATAAATTTTTATTATATTTCTAATATAAATGTTATCAAATTAATTTTAGATAAAATGAAACGTTATCTTACCAGGGTTTGACAACACATCGACGACATTTTGTAAAATCTCTCGCCGCTCTTTTTTACTAGCGGTTTGAATTCGATTAGGTAAATCTTTTAAGGCTTTAGTCAGCTGTAAGATAAACGTTAATAAAATTTAAGTAATGTATTAAGAATATTATATCTTTTCAATTCCACGTGACAGACTCACCTCGACATCCGCCATATTTCTCCAAAAACCGGACTTGTAGCGCACTCTTCTTTAATTCTAATTACACATTACATGAAGTTGTCTACATATATACCTATTTGCATTAACGATCATATCGATTTGGTTTTTTTTTTTTTTATAAAAGTGAACAATTTATCAGTGAATATTAACCAACAAAAAAAGGACAGAATTATACTTTTTATTTATTTTATACATAAATTAAATTTTATTCACTGATGATAAGAGTAAGAAAATTTCACGTCGATACATTACTTTGAAAAATTCAAATTTACGAAAGAAAATTTCTAAAATTAATTTAGGTTAGTTTAATAAAACGTTTACATAACAATGACTTGAGATATTAGAACACAATTGATAACATCTTTGTACACTTACGAGTTGTATAATATTTTAATATTGACAGAAAAAATAAAGTAGATCACGAAATAGATTGGTTTTGTATCGGGGAGAGGGCGCCACCGAGAAGTTTTTGAAGGGTGCGAATAGTTTTAAAATTTCCCTCGCAAACAAGATAAGTTTGCAGCAAAGTTTTCAAGTAGAAATATATCAAATTAATTTACACATATAAATATATATAATTAAATAATAAATATCGGTATGTATAATAATATAATAATACGAACAAACACTAAGAATAATTTTTTAAATTACTTAAACTTACTTAAAATTACTTAACAAATATTTGAAATTACAGGTATAAAGTAAATTATTAATTTTACATATGGCGGAACACAACTGTGGGTTGGTATCTAAGTTTTGGAGTGATTGCTCTATCAACGGTTATAACTCATCCAAATATTGTGATTTTTATGCAAAAACTATAAGGAGAAAGCTACTTTTATCTCACCCAGTATATATGCAAGTGACTCAAAAGTTACAAGGCATTATAAAGGGTTAAGAAGAAATTGGTATGAAACTGCAAGCAGAATGGCAGGATTTGTCGTTTGTCAAAGTAAAAGGATTGATGGGGTTGCTTGAATTGGAAAAAAGTAACAGGAAATAATATTACGAGTGAGTTGTATCTTATTGGGCACGCGTGCCGAACGTAAGTCACGCTAACCTTCTTAATTTTTCGATTCGACGAATTCGTCGGTCCTTTTACCGGTGAATTTCGCGGTAATTTCAAGACTATATTACCTTGGCACACCTGTATATGTCGTAGGAGACATATGTTACTTAAATACGGCCGATCGTCTTCTACGAATTCTCTTGGCTGGTTGCAGACCGCGTGCAATTTTATCTTCTACAGTGTTCAACTTGTCCATTATTCATTGACTTTTCTCTCTCTTTTTCTCGTCTCGTATGTGTATATATCTACTTACTTACGTACACTTACTCTTTTATATACATTGGCGCCGTATAATTAACTTCAAAACTCATTTTTAAATTTCATATATACTTTATTCAATCAATACAACTTAATCCATATGATTTCAAAGAACAATATCAAATCATTCAAATTATTCTCCAATTAATTGTAAAATAGTATAATATAAGTTGTCTCAAAACTTCCTTTACAGAGAAAAGAAAAAGAAAAAAACACCATATATTTATTTATCAATGTGTTTTGTTAAAAAAAGTATGCCTTCACTATGCTATTACTTCAAAAATATCTAACAAAAATAAAGTTGATTGATTCGAGTAAAGTGACTTTTGTATTGTTTAATTATTTTTAATCGATACGAGGGTTTGTAGAAAAGAAAAAAAATCTATTGTTATTATTAGTTTTATAAAATGTTGGAAAATTTGGAAAATCCAAATGGAAGGATAAAAATATTGGATGTAATACACTTCATGGATCCATACACAATTGGATGGATATACACTTCATGGTGTTAGAAAAACTGGGCGCGTTATGGATGAAGACGATCTGCAACATTGCTGAAAGAGAACGCGATCGTTTCTAAGAGAAAGAGATAGAAATAAAGAAAGAAGTAAAGAAAGATTAAAGAAAAAGAAAGGAATAAATAAAGAAAGAAAGGAAGAATAAAAGAAAGAGAGAGAGGGAGAGAGAGAGAAAGATATATATGCAGTAAGTTGCTGAGCACGCATCGTGCTCGGTGGTACTAATTTCCGTGAATCCAACAGCGCCAGGAAACGTTTCTTGTAGCACACCGGGTTACAAGGAGTTCATGGATAGTAACATTTTATAGTCATATCGGTGATCATCATCGACGGCTCCACGGGCGGCCGATTTCTTTGCTTCTTCCTGGGGCGACTCTTGATCCATGTTTCATGAGCTAACTTCAGTTTACTTCAAGTAAGCAATGAGCTATGGGATCTCTTTTTCTTTCTCGTATATATATGTATATAACATCACTTAAGTTAAATTAACTTAAACGAACACTCTTTCCTTCGATAATCATCCTTTACTACTTCTACTTCTACTTCTTATATATTACATAGATACTTATTATATTAATGATCTAATCTCCTGTTGAATTTTGTATCAGAAATTATATGATTTTTATTCGTCTATCTGTTTAATATTATAATATTGTAATTTTATTTTATGACTAATTTTAATATATCTTTCACATATTTATTTTAAGTACTTATTATATAAACGATCTAATATCATGTGTTGAATTTTCAAGCAAGAATAATATGATCTATCTCGAGATTACATTTTATTACTTTATTTTAACTATTTAATATTGTACTCTTTTATCTAGTTACTATTTTATGTAATATATTTTTCAGATATATACACGTTCATGGTATATACAAGATGTGAGCTTTTTAAAATTTAAATATAAATATCTCTGATAAAAGTATTTTTAAACGAAGAGAAATGTTTCAACATATAAAGACTTTTCTTTTTAATTATGATTCGGTTAACAATTTTTTTTTTCATTATTTCAAGATCAAATTAACTTTGTTCTAAATGGAAACCTATAATGAATAACTTTCATTTAACAAATGTTTTTACTACTTTACTCATAGTACAACTGTATTTGCTGTATATATCTATTATGTATATAATGAAATAGGAAAAAAAAGAGAAAACGAAGAGATGGATCGATCGATCAAGAAACATACGATGAAATCTCATTAGAAAATACTAGATACTCACGGGAGGTCGACTTTCGTTCGAAACGGCTCTATCTTCATGCGAATCGAAGATCCAGATACTGATTTCTCCCATAAATGGGTGATGTACAATGTAACGATGTCTTCACTCTCCCTTATCGACATCACAATTAGCCTTCTACGTAGACGCAGCTATGAATGGACGTAGCAACATTGTGCTACGAACAACTCGTTTGCTCTACCTTTTTCTAATGTTTTATTATTTTTTTCGTTGATTAAATCGCTCTTTGATCGTACGATGTATGTATACATAAATGATGAAGCATTTTTAATTAAAAACGATGCCATTTAATAAACGAGAATTTAATCATTCTGATTGGGGATAAATTACGATATTAGAAAAAAGGAATACAATTAACATAATTATTATAATATAATTAATATTGTATATATATGTGTGTGTATGTTTGTGTATATTTGTTTATTTATTATCAGTGTGTTCAGATCGTAATAAATGAAACAAATTTTATTTCTGTACATAACTCACAAAGCAATATTTCATATCGATATCTAGAATTTTTTATTGATTATACAATATAAAAGAATACATTTATATATATTATATTATATTTCACGTTACATTGCACGCGAAAAACACTTTCTCATGCATTTGCTTTGTAACACGTCAATAACTCGAGGGTTCGTATGTACTATTCCGTAGAAATAATGAAAATCGAAACAGTAAATCCCAATGTCGATTCGTTCGACGTCGAAAAGTACTCCTTTACTTTTTGTTTGCTTATTTGTTTGTTTGTTTGTTTGTTTTATTTCATATATTTTTGTGTTCTCCTTTTGTTTTTTCAATTCGATTCGAAAATCTCTAGACGCATTGCCTTTGAAGAATTACTCTTGGTAACTGTTTGAAAATTCATTTCGAATACCTATTCGTTAAATATTTGTAGTTAGAAATTTTCATGGTTTTCATAAATTTTCCAATCGTTAAATACCAATTTTCAGTGGGATTATTTAACAGTGTTAAAAGGGTAAACATCAAAAGAGAGTAAGATATAATACCAACAAATAAAACCTTTTGAATTGATTTTACTAAAATTCTACATAAATATAACTTGTTTATATGGTTCGATGAATGGTAAAGCGTGATGTACGGTAATCTATAATCTTGATAATGTATGAAACACCTTTTTTTCCTTCATTTTTCATTTCAAAACTTATAATTAATTGCATTCGTTGAATTCTTTTCATAGCAATCAAAATACTTTACATTTCTAGCAAATTAATAAATACCAATATATTTACTTAGAAATATTAAAACATTAGACGAAATTACTATAGAAATTGTTATGATTTAAAACGAATATTTTTAAGGATTAAATATTTTCTATTTTTCTTTTTATTTTCATTTGGAACAAAGAAGAAGATTTAAAACGAATCGAAAAGAGAGTAAATGGAAAAGTTTGATCGTAAGTAGATAGATTGTAAAATTACCAATATCTTTTTATCTATATATATCCACATGAATATCTAATACACAAAATATCCATATGAAAGTTTGTGAGAAAGTTCAAACTTCGATTTAAACTATCTTTCGTCTTACTACCCTAGTACCACACTCTATTCGGTCTGTGTATTATTCTTTAAGCGTTAACGTTTTCCCAGAACGACGATAATGAGATAGAAAGAGAAAGATATAGGATAAAGAAGGAGAGGAAACTGGATGTGTTTCTCAGATAATGACCATCATTAGTCACTGTCTCGCGAGTAACTTCGATTCGATGCTCACGGATACTTATCTTTTTGTTTTGTTAAATTATCTTTGTTTTTATCTTTCTCTTTCCTTCTACCCTTTCTTTCCTTCCTTCCTTTCATTTCCTCTCTCTCTTTTTATCTATAGTAAAAAAATTGGTAATTCTAAGATCCAAGTAAGTTTTATTATTTGATCGTACTCAAGGTTAGTTCGTAGACATTCCTACGATAAAGAGAGTCACAGGTGAGTCCGTAGAATTTCTTGCTAACGAACCCCAAGAGAGGATCTGTGTACCGAAGACTCCACTTCCCCAGATTTGTCAGCCAAGCAAGATGGATAGACTTGTCCACGGCACGCTTTTCGTTTCTCTCTCTCTCTCTCTCTTTCTTTATCTCTTTTTCTATTGATCATCTTGCATCACCGACTAAGTCATATTTCTTCTGCATGTTCTTCTTCTTCTACTTTTTGTTCTTTTCTTTTTTATTTTTTTGTTTTCTTTCTTTTTTTCCTATCTGATGCATGTAGTTTAGCTAAGGGTAGGTTACTTACTCTTTAGAGTACGTGTCGATTTCTGACATAATATTCCTACTTGCACGTGTGTGTTTTCAACCCGTTCGAAACGGCTTTTAAAGGGAAACTAAGGCAAGAAAAGTAATGTAATCCGTGTCGTTGAATGTACGATGGTCATGGTGAAAAGAAAAGTTTAACAAGAAAAAGAAGAAAAAAATAAAAAATAAAGATTTCTTCCTTTACCTTTTCTTTTTCTTCTATTTATCATTATTTTCTTTATCGTAGGTTGTATACTATAAGATAGCTATAAAGAAAAAGTCAATTACATGATTTTTCCATAGCAAAATGATCGTATAGTCAACGTTGAGCAATTTACTTTGCAACGTCAAATATTTTCATATTAACATATATTATTAGTATATATAAATATTTATATCAGGTTTTAACGATCAAAATTTCATTGGTATGAGATTATAAAATATTAAACATCCTGTTTGAATATAAGCCTCGACTCGTCGTTTTGGTTATACACTAATTATGCACGTGCATTTTATACGTCGTGATTAAATCTGAGATTGGATCGTTGAATTTTTTGTTCTATTAAAATATTTTGAATTACCACGAATAGAGATTATTATATATACAACCATATTATATATATATATATATATATATATAATAGGAGTTTGGTCAAAACTTAATGAAACGTATATAACATATATACCTATATAAATTTATATTTATTTGATTTGTATTTTTACATGATTGCTTGCTTTACTAATGATGAATATTTGAAAAATAAATTATTACAATATAAATATTTTATTAATTATAAATAATAAGTGATTTTATCATTATTATTAAATCAAAATTAGTATCAATTACTTCATAATGGCTCATAAAATTAACGGGGATTGCATTAGTTCATTGATAACTTATGTTATTATTATATATGCTATTACATTTACATGCTTTATTTTTATAAATACTGTTTATCCATTTAAAATATTAATAAAAAATAAATAATATTGATCTAATAAATATCAATTACATATATATA